GAGATGATTTACCTGCAACAACCACTACCATCATCCTTGTGCCAGTTATGACACCAACCAGTGGAGACCTTCCCCCAGATTCCCACTGACTCCAGTTATACCACAGCAGCTTGAGGCCACACTCAGTCAAAATGCTACCTTGATGTCAAAGGTAGCCACTCTCATCTCTGGATTCAGTTCTCTTTATCCATGTTACGACAGAGACTGTATTGCAGTGAGGAGTTGAGTGAACCTGGCAGAATCAAAACTGAGCATCAGTGAGCAGATTATTGCTGAGCAAGTGCCATTTGATACTACTGTTGACAACCTCTTCTATTACTTTGCTTCGGCCTTATCTTTTGCACCAAAGTGCTTGACTTGGCATCATTGAGGATGGGGATATATATGGGACCTTCTCCTCCTGTTAGTTGTTTAATTGTACAACACCATTAAGGTGGCAAAATTGCAGAGCTTCAATCTGATCCTTCGATTATGCTGTCCACTGGAAGCCATTTCCACTATTTGGCATGCAAGTAGCTCTGTGTTGCATCTTCACCAAGATAAGACCTCATTTTTAGGTGTGCCTAGTGTTGCTCCTGGCATGCCTCCCTACACTCTTCGCATTTCAGGGTTAATCTCCTAGTTTGAAGGTAATGATTGACTGAGGGATCCACCAGGCCACTAAGTAATACATTTTCAATAAATACAGTTCCGCTGCTGCTGATGGCCCGTAGCATGGCCTGGAGTCTGAAATAAAAAGAAAGTACTGGAGAAACTCAGCAGATCTGGCAGCATCTGTGGAGAGAGAAACAGAGTTGATGCTTCGAGTCTAATGTGCCATCTTCACAGGACACCTGGAGTCTGTCCCATTGAGCACTGTGGTACTACCAGACAAAACAGTGAAGGGTTTCCACATTGTGAAGACAGGACTTTGTCTCAGAAGGATTGTGCAATGGTCACTCCTACTGATACTATCAGGAGCGGATGCCAAGTAAACTGGCCAACAAGAGTTCAAGTTAGATTTTCCTTTCTGTTGCTTCTCTTTTACAACTACCATAGACCAAGTCTAGCAGTTGGTTCCTTTGGGAGTCAACAAGCTTGGTCGTTATTGGTACTACCATGCTTCTCTGGTGATGGTCATTGACATAATTGCCACCCTCAGTGGATCCTCCAAGTAACGTTCAATGTGAACTGATTTATCAGCTGAAGGGGTTGCGTTGGTAGTAAGCAGCACAAAATCTCTTTACCCATGCATGACCTATTGCCAAGAGATTCCATGGGGTCCACAATAGATGTTGAGGACTCCCAGAACTATTCCCTCCTGACTGTCTAACACTATGCTGCCACCTCGGCTGGGTTTGTCCTGCTGTGAGACAAAACATGCCCAAGGATAGTGAGAGATAGTAGGAACTGCAGATGCTGGAGAACCATTTCTGAAGAAGGGTCTAGGCCCGAAACGTCAGCTTTCCTCCTCCTCTGATGCTGCTTGGCCTGCTGTGTTCATCCAGCTCTACACCTTGTTATCCCAAGGATAGTGATGCTGTTTTCTGAGACATTATAAAGGTATGACTCCAAGAGTATAATTATATGAGGATGTTGCTTGATTATTATGTGGGACAGTCCTCTCCATTTTGACACAAGGAGGGCTTTGCAGCGTCAACGGGGCTGTGTTTACCATTTTTGTTTCTAATGCCTAGGTTAATGCTTGCTGGTCCATTCTGTTTCAGACCTTTCTTTGGAATGTGTAATGGTTTTGATACAACTAAATATTTGTTTGGCCACTTCAGAGAGCAGTTAAGATTCAGCTATACTGCTGTGGGGCTGGAGTCATAGGTGGGCCGATAAGAAAAGGATGGCAGGTAAAGGACATTGTTGGGTTTTTATGACAATCAGCAGTGGTGATATGATTTCCAAAAAATTAACTTTTTTTTAAAATTCTGGATTTTTTTTATTAAATTTAAATTTCACCACTTATCTTGGTGAGATTCAAACCCATATATCCAGTTCTGAAGAAAGGTCACAGCACCTGAAACATTGACTCTGTTTTCTTTCAACAGATGCTGCCAGATCTGCTGAGTTTTTCCAGCTGTTTCTGTTTATGTTCCCAGAACGTTTGCATGAGGCTCTGGGTTAATAGTCCAGTGACATTACCACTTTATGCAGAAACTTGTGTACGTGATAGAGAGATTGCATAAACTCCTGAATTGACAAACACCAGTTTGGTTTGAAGAGTGGTGAACAGAAACATTTTCATACCCAGTATGACCAGAGAGATAGACATTAAAACAGTGAGATAACAGCTAGTCTGGTTAGACTCACTACCTCAGTGTGCTTACTAAATCTGTTTTGAGTACAATAATCCTGCTATGAGCGGATTCAGGTTTATTCGGGAACTGATGATACCATTTGTCATAGCTCTGGAACCCTCAGGCAGTAGTTTCAGTCTTGAGCCTGTGGGTATGATTAGCTCTGGTATTCCCAGCATGAGAATTTATTGTTGCACTAACAGTTTCAGAGACACATGGTAAATAGCCTGTCAGCAACGTGGACTCTCAATGTACACTGACGGGGAACTGCTGCAGACTTGATCCCTTTTGTATATTTAGCACTCATCTATAGCTTGCGATTTAAATACATGCAAGGTCTAAAGACCATGGGGCAAGGATTCTTTACTCCACTGTCCATCTGGTCTTTATAAACAATAAGGGACAGTGAGGTTAAATGAGGAGGTATTCATGATATTTGCATGGAATGAAGCCTGTGATTTCCATCAACATGAGAAGTGCTTTGTCAATCCTCTCCTTCCCATGAGATCTCCTTCCTCCAATGATACATTTTTATTCAGAAAGTGTCTGTTCAGCTGCTTCAGCTGCTCCCCTTCACTGTTGCCATCCACTGCTGGAGGTCCTGGCACAATCTCTCGAGCTTCCTTGGTCAGTACCAATGCAGTTTTCTGGCATTTCACCCTTGACTGTAGATGATACAAGTATCTCTGCTAGGGGCTCCAAAATTTCTTCCCTAGCTTCCCACAATGTCCGAGGATATGCTTGATCCGGTCCCAGGGATTTATCTACCCTTATGCATTTTAAGACCTCCAGCACCTCCTCTTCTGTGATGTGGACTAATTTCAAGACATCACTATTTATTTCCCCAAGTTCCCTAGCGTCCATGTCTTTCTTCACAGTAAATACTGACGCGAAATATTTGGTTAATACCTCACCCATCTCTTGTGGTTCCACACATAGACAGCTGTTGACCTTTAAGGGGCCCTATTCTCTCCCTAGTTGCTGTTTTGCCCTTAATGCACTTGCGGAATCTCTTTAGATTCTCCTTAACATTATTTGCCGAAGCTATCTCATATTCCCTTTTTGTCCTTCTGATCTCCCTCTTAAGTATGCCCCCACTCCTCTCATACACCTCAAGGGATTCACTTGAACCCAGCTGTCTATACCTGTGTCTCCTTCTTTGAGACCAGAGTCTCAATATCTCTCATCATCCCTATTCCTACCAGCCTTGCCCTTCACTCTAACTGGAACGTACTGTCTCTGAAGTCTTGTTATCTCACTTTTGAAAGCTTCTCACTTGCCAGTCATCACTTTACCTGCGAACAGCCTCCCCCAGCCAACTTTTGAACGTTCTAGTCTAGTACCATTAAAATTGCCATGGCTCCAATTTAGAACTTTAATTTTTATATAAGGCCTATCCTTTTCGATAACGCTTTTAAAACTAATAGAGTTATGGTCACAGTGCTCCCCCACTGACACCTCAGTCACCCTGCTTAATTTCCCAAGAGAAGATCAAGTTTTGCTCCTTCTCTAGTAGGTACATCCACATTTTGATAAAGAAATTTTCTTGAACACACTTAACAAATTCTTCCCCATCCAATCACTTAACACTATGGCAGGCCCAGTTTACATCTGGAAAGTTAAAAGCACCTACTATTACAACCCTATTACTCTTACAGATAACTGAGATCTCCTTATATTTAGAATGATCTATACATTGACGTAATGACTATGTTGAAGTTTCATCTTTACAAGACATTTTCTGTAAACTTTTAATTTTTTGAGTTCTCTGCCCGAAGATAGACGTGACCCAGAGTCATGATCTCTGCCAAGGGTAAAACAATGAGGCAGGTCTCAAATCCAGCCCAGCTGGAATGAGGATTGAACCTGTGCTGTTGGCACCAATCTGATGCTCACCAGCCCCAAGCCAACTGAATCAACCAGTTTCCCAAGAAGTCCAAATACTTGTGGCAACATAGACTTGTACACGTGCGTTGTAGCCTGAACAATAATGTTCGAAGCTCCAATGTCTTTCCATCACATGGCTGACCTGGAATCTCTCTACTCTTACCATCTGTCATTGGCATATGTGAGAAGGATTTACAAGTTGACATGCAATCTGTATCAGAGATATTTCTAACTGGCCCCATTGAGGTAACTCTTGATGATAAAGCAGTATACTGCTGTGGGAGACACTTGAGATTTCCCATTGATTAGAAAGCTTATGTTTCATTTGCTTGAGTGCACAATGGACAAGATGTTATTACCACAGTACACAGGTCCACATCAAGTAAGACTTCATTTATTTTACAGCAATTAACAGGCTTCGAGACCAGGGGAAGCCTTTTGATCACCAGAGTGTTCACTTTAACTATCAGAATAGGTGAACAATAGCAAAACGTTACAGTATCTAAAACAAAGTTATTAGTGAGGTGTCAAGAGAGCCAAAGAAAGGGTGAATGAATATAAGCAGTGCAGGATGCATGTGTATATTCAGTGGAAACCATATTATCCTGCATTTATATTTGTAGAACGTATAAAGGTAGTGTCACCTATGTATCACTGTGTAAATTCATTGACTGAAGGCCATAATTTGAGAGGTTCAGTCCTTAATCCGATGTGAGTATGGTACACTGAAAGGACATGGCTTTCCCATACCTGTGATGCCAGCCAATTCAATGTGATTTGTCTCAGTCTGAAAGAACAATGGCTTTGAGCTACCTTTTTCTCCGCCAGAGAACAGCGACTGAGATTGGGGGACAGATGTCTCTGGAGGAACGAAAGCAGCTGATCAGTGTGAGCGAGGAACAGTGGAAAACGAAAGGCAAAGGTGCATTCAATGACTCCACCCAGTTCACAGTGGCAGCTCGCATGGCGAAGAAAGGTCAGCATTGAATTTCACAATCTTAGAGTGTATACGATCAGAAGTCTCACACTTGGCATCCCAAAAAAGATTTTTCTCACACTCAGTCTGAAAGATTAAAAGTAAAAACAGAAAATGTTGGAAATAATCAGCTGGCCAATCAGTATGGAGCAGTAGAGTCAATGCTTCCAGTCCTTTCATCAGAATGAGAACTGTCAGGTTTCTGAAGAGTCATGTTGAACTCAAAACATTAATTCCATTTCTCTCCCAACAGATGCTACCATTCCTGCTGAATTTCACCAGCATTTCCTGTTTTTATTTCAGATCTCCAACATAACACAGTATTTTGCCTGCATAGAAATTAGATGGTTCAGTTCAGTTTTGTAGCCGCTACATTATATGTGCCATGGTTTGTTTTCAAATCTTTTGCTTTCCTTCCGTTTTGGTTTTTAACCATCACCCTTCTTCTCTGTTTGAACGGGCATAAGGACAACTTGGCATTCAGCCTCTGCTAATACTTTCCCTGAGGTGTCCACTCCCAACATACCCAAAGGTCTGATCTCCTTCTATTCTTGGATTAACTGAGGATCTGCCTGGATGAAATTAATAGATCCTGTGGCACTTTCCATGGAAGGAAAGAGGAATTCTCCTCAGTGTCTTGGAGCAATATTGATCTTAATCAATATCAGCCCAACAGAATAACGGTGATTATCTTGTTGCTTTTGTGGGAGCTTGCTGTATGCATAATGGCTGCCATATCTCCAACATGTGGAAGGTGACTATACATTAAAAGTAGCTGTAAAGTACTTTGAGATATCGTGAGGCAGTGAAAGATGCAATATAAATACAAATACTTCCTTTATTTCTCTCAGTGATGTCAACAAAGGAGCAGATACTTGAACGAGGGGTAAAAAATGACACGTTTCTAGTTTAAAGGGCAGAGTGTGTTTTACTCCTTCTCAGTCACTGTAGGTGTTGCTTCCACAGCCCAGCCCTAATTCTTCCTCAAGATGGTGACAGTGGCTCACCCACTTTGTCAGTTCAGATTCACTAGCCCCATTAAGTACAACAACTCTTCCTCCTTAAAGGGTATTAACCAGCCTGTTTGCTTTTCACAACAATCTGACAACTTCACCTAGTGATGAAAGGATTTTACTTGCAGAATTTTCAAAGTTGGATTCAAATTCTCCAAGAGTGATAAAAGGATTTGAACACATGCTCCCTGGATTATCCTTGGACAGGATGCCTGGATTAGTAGGCCAGTAGCAAAATCCCTACATATCTTGCCATATCTTGTGGTAAATGTTGTTATGGACCAGACCAAACTCTCTCAAAACTGACAAGGAGATAGCCTAAACCCTAATTTTCTCTTATTTTACAGACAAGTGCCAGGCATTGCATTTCAGATCCAGTTCAAATGGTCATACTACCAGGTTTGAGGCAAAATACTCTTTATTCATACACTATCGTTAGAATACAGACAGAATTAAAATAAAAGGAAAGAATTGGCTTAACTGTAACTCTATCAAAATACTTAACAAAATAATAAACTACTCATTAACTGTTCCAATATAGTAACATCCCATAAGCACACCCTTGGCAAAGACAAATTCAGTAAACTAAATTGTCTCACATGCAATTCTAGCAACAGGAAGAGAACCCCAGCCTTTAGAGGTAACAGAGAGAGGAAAAAGAGCTCCCACATCCAGCTTCAAGACCCCAGCAACTGTTGAAAGCTAAAACGAAAAGTCCTGGTTCTGTGGGAGCATGATCCCACCCATGCAGGCTGCTTCTATTGTTCCAACTTTAAAAAAGAACAAGTTGTTTACATTATTGGCTTTGAGCAGACTGCTTGGTACTCTGTTTTGACCTTTCTTCATAAAGAAAAGGACAAAATACATCTGTTAGAGCCATAGTATTGTCACAATGTGGTCAGTGAGTGAGATAATGTCACTGATGTTTAAAAATTTATAAACTGTTCAATTGTTTTGCCAGATAGTGATGCTGCCAATTATATATCTTCCACCTTAAAATCCTCCCCTCATTATTGATGGCCTCTACAGTTAATCAACATCGTAAGTGTAGCTTCATTATAAAAGAGTCACACACTTATTTACAGTAAATTCACTTTTATTGATCATGACATTTTAGAGGCAAACTCTGGGATACTCTGAAACCAATATAAGACTGCATAATGTGTACCATACTTTTAAAAAATGCATTGTTTAAAGTAGGGTATGGCCTCCAGGTCAGTTAATCAAGATTGGGTGCAGCACATATAACCAGTAGTATGACAAAGTAGATTTATTTTCTGATCAACCTGCTTCAGAGATGTTATGACACACCTCTGGAACAGATAGGACTTTAACCCAGGCGTCCAAGCTCAGAGGTTGGAACACTACCATTGCACCACAAAAGTACCTCCAGTAGCAAACCTTCTTATATTTCCTTAAAAAGTAAGGGTGCACTTTCTAGGAAATTCATTGATAATAGCTTTGATCCATCCAGAGAATGTGAGAAAGGATATATAAATGCAGATAACATAGTGTGAAGCTGGAGGAACACAGCAGGCCGGGCAACATCAGAGGAGCAGGAAAGCTGATGTTTCGGGTCGGGACCCTTCTTCAGAAACCCATTTCTGAAGAAGGGTCCCGACCCGAAACGCCAACTTTTCTCCTCCTCTGATGCTGCCTGGCC